GTCCATGATTAGATTTCAGACTCAGTGAGAATATCAAACGAAAATACGACATTTATTCAAATCAATATTATATGGACAGTCTTAAATAACATTGTTGCCGATAACCTTTATCATAACGTTAACTACTGACTGAAAGTTAATTTTTATGCTACTACTACGTACATCAAGGTGTGTTTCCAGGATAAAGAATATGGAATTTTTAGGCTCACTGAAGTGTGTGCGAGAATGATAACGGTTGTTTCTCTGCTTAGTCAAACATTAGATAGTCTGACATGTGTCCGATGAGTTGCGATTTCCCCTTTCCTTACTATTTATTGATTAATGTTGGATTTCGTCGGTTTGGCGTGGAAATATATTCACGTTCTGTTATAACGTATGGACTCGTAATATATATGAACGTGCAATTAGAAAGGAGTGGATTTTACTGATCGGCGCAATGATACATAAAAATCGTACGAGCAGTCTTGAGTGCTATTCAGTCCTGCTATACGCCTAGCCCAGCCAGTTGAGTCCAGAACACAAATAACAGCCTCGGGAATATGAATCATTATTTACAAGCATACTGGGTTTATATACTAACCAAACAGACCAAATTACACCAAAAAATAGAAAAATAACATTTGTACAATAGTTGGCCAATGTGGCTGTGGATAGGGGGAGAGTAATCAATAATAATAGTTCAAAGGTCAAAATAAGGGTTATGATAAGAGAAACACGAATACGATTAGGTCAGTTATTTAGCAACTATACAATAGGAAATAGGCATATTACATTTGTCCATAAATAGACCTCAGATTCACTATTCATAATTCACCAGGGGATATAACACGTTCTTGTCAGGCTAATCACGTGCTCTTGATCTAAGTTGTATTGAAGTCCTGTGGAGTAGACACTGGAGGGAATCTAGTGTGAATATTCGTCTAAGATAAATCAACGTTCGTTCGTGTAAACAAGGGAAACAGACCGTTACAACACACAACACAACCTCATACGGCACAGTACCAATTTTAAAAGAGCTGGATGTAATTTAACAATATTCTATACCATATTCTTCGGCAAAACGTGAGAGTTTCCTAGGTTTAATAAACTTTCATACATGATTGTAAGCAGCAAGAACAAACGCTGTCAAATAGCCTTAGAGGAAAAGCAGACTTTAATTTTATTTATGTGGTCTTTGAGGCATTCGATAGCTGGAGAGTAAAGTGTCTCAGGTATATATGGTAACGTATTGTAGGGCCAGTGAAATGTCGCTGAACACTAGCCAAATCATCCAGCAGTTGGGTCACTGAATATGGAACAAATCATCGATCCCTGTCAAGATCAAGGACAGTCAACGCGCATCAGTGAATCATACGCCATGGACTGGCCCATGCGGCAGTGGTTTTACTTTCGCTTGTATCTCCTTTAACTAATATATTCCTGCAATAACGTCCTTTGTGTTGTACAGTCTTCAGAGCATCCATGATCCTTTGATACGTCGATGGGGCAATCCACGTAAGGCGCTGGTCGCAAGGTGTGACCTCGAAGTTAGCTTATTCGTTACACCGTCCCCGTCTAACTCGAGTAGGCCTCCAATCATTCGACATAGACCATCAACACTGATGGTCTACAGTATTCAAGGAGAAGTTCTCCGTTCACTTAATGGATGAAAGTTTCAAATAATGCAATAAATTGATTAAAAACACGTAGGCTGACAGCGTTCTATTGATACCGACTACTGATCGATTTCTGGGTATGCATTCGCGATTATAAACAAGGTTTAGGAAATAGAAACTACGTGAAATCATGGTCACATACCTATTTGGATTCAATGAAGTCAACGTTTTTGAGTTTAGAATATCATTTTTAGATGGCATGCTGATTTGACATGCTTGTTATCAAGATGTCTACACATCGTTTATTTCCTTCCAGGTTACAAGTATGTTAAAAAACATTTATGTGAAAACGGAACAATGGAATCACGTAACCGTACATCTTTTTCCATCTAATTATCCTATACAGCCAACCGAGTAGCTCTCCAAATTTGGTTGCTTGTGTCGGCTGATTGCATTTTCAAGAAAAACTACTTCCTGATCTTTGGTTTTAGAATGAGGAAAGATGAGTTAGAATATGGTAGCCAAGCAGAGTATGGAGAATCGGTATCTCACTAACATGGTGTCAGGAAACGCACGGCACTTCTTTACAAATCCTTACTCCTTTAACTCACATTTTCTTACTCTCTGTGATTCTCGTATGGAAGACTGGTGGAACAAGTCACATCGGACAATTCATGGTAAGTAGGTAAGTTACTTCCTGTTAGGATATTCACAGGAATATCCCAAAAATTATCTCGAATGCAAATTGGCATGTTCTCAGTCTCTTCACATATTTTACATGTTATTTCCTATTGGTCATTATTACAGTTGTCCTAACTATGACTTTCATGTGTCGTTTAGGGTCCTTCCAAGCAGTAAATACAATCTGAGAGTAAAAATGGGCGAGATTTTCGCGCAAAAGCGGGAAATTAAAATTTCCAAAACAAAATTACGAAAATGAGAATTTAACAAGTGGTGTTTGGGATTCTAGCGTCACCAACAAATGCAGAGAAAAATTACAAAACAACTAACAGCGGCCTTCCTTCTGAATCATATCTGATAGCGTCTTAACCCACTAAGCTTCATCACAGAGAGGATTTAACCAGGAAGTTATGGCGAATCGTCAGTTCTATTCGTCTCATGTCCGTCCTATATGAGTTCTTTGCATCAACGTGCAAAGTTTATGTGAGCTGGTTAGGTGCGACCTCCGTGCTTTTAGTAGCGCCACACAATGAGACAATTTCATCCACACAATTAAGATCGAAACGTCTCTCACCTGGTGACAGATCCACACAACTATTTACTTTCGAAAGAGCTATCTCGAGAATGACGTTTGATGTGGAGTAATGAGATGAAACAATCGTCTCCAGACTCATTGCTCGAACGAAACAATGGAGAAAGAGGCTTCTATTTTCCAACTCTGACGTTTTATATGCAGAACCCTCAAGATTTTAACAGGATTCAAAAGCATAGCTTTCCCCAAAAGACAACAGATAACAGTCCGGTACAACGGATCAAAGACGCTCTTGATATTAAGAAATAACGATTGTAATAAACGTGACGACACTCTAGCACTTGATAGAAAATGAAGATATGAATAATATATCCATACACTGAAAGAAAAAACCATACTTCTAGAGAGTTAACTTTTCATGGGTTTCGACCAATCCGCGAAGTATTACATAAGTCAATAGTACAGACAAAATTAGAAACAAACTTATCTCGCGATATCTGTTGCACAGGAGGCGAAGCCTTTTCCTAAAGATGTGGATGATGGTCACATTATTTCAGGATGTTGGAACATTCCCTCGCATCTTTTCAAACCCATTTGCTTCTCTGATCAGAAGACCTCTACCCTCTTTAAAACGGCTGTTAGTAAGTCGTCTAGACCTAGTGACTTGTGGCACTTCCAAAGCTAGAGTTTCTTTCCGACTTCCACCTCGTTAGTTGAATCCGTTGTCATGAGCCATGGAGGACAATGCAGTTTGATGGATGTTGCCAGAGAAGTAAACAGGCTGAAATTTTCCTCGAAGAACTGTGCTCAGCATCCAAATTATCACTGAATATTACTAGTCGGCATCCCATCAACTTTACACTGAACTTCTCAGTGCCAATGGCTCGGCTGAAATGAAACGGATTCTGGAAGTTGCAACATGTAGCCGCTGCTTCCGGCTCGTTAGCATGGTCTGACCACCGTATTTCTCTGTCCTTACGCTAACTTGGGATAACAAAAAGGACGAGTGATTATATAAACGCAATACAAAGCATTAAGAGGGGCAAAGCACACAGATATTATCATCTTACAAAGTAACCTCACTACACACAATGTCTATTAAAGTTTCAAACAAAAATAAGATAATTTGAAATGCAAAACTGTCAAAGTATGTGCATTCATTTTATGTTCATTCAGATTAGAATGTATACCCTGATACTAGGCAACCGTCGATTCCATTCATTACAAACAACGAATAACCGTCGCAATTGCTAAGTATCAGGAAATTGTAACCAAGAAAAGTTTGGTCTGTTCCCTAATATGAGCGACCAGCGACCTTAATACCAGAAAACATTCGAAGCAGTAAGGAAAATGAAGTTTCTAGTTCGGAATGTTAAACCTATCTACTAGGATTCATATTTCTAGCAATGCATTCTCCTATGTTATAAATTTTAGTCATAATAGGAGCCGGTCAACAGACTCCATCAAGTAACTTTTATTTTACACGCACTCAGATGTCTAGCCTATGGACAACTGATGAAGAGTTTATATAAATATTGTTTCATTATTTTCGGGAACACACAGACCTTTTACACTTTACATGACAAAACAATTTCACATTAAATTAAACAAAGTACATCGGTGCTCAGATTGGCTAGCTGCTTTGAATTCAACAGATGTATCCCGAATATTATCCAACAAAAGTATCGTTACATCATTTGTAAACTGTATTAATGTACATTAAAGTATGATCACTTAGAAAAAGGTTGAGTTTATTTTAACTTTATGCTGTTTCAATCCTATCAAGCGACACATCCAACAGGCTTGAATATGCAGTGTTTCAAATATACAGTGTGTAAATAATAAAGAGATTTAACATTTGAGCCGCACTGAGCAGAATATTGCGATCTCGATTATAATGACCAAAGAAGTAAATATTACAAAGTTGCGTGTTTACAAACTGCAGACAAAATCACTGGTACGTTTTTCTATAAGAAAGTACTCTAAATGTCTGTTTCTTAAAACAGAGGAGAAATCTAGTATATGGGAAAACGTATTGTGAAGAAATTGTAATAATCTCGTCGAACATTTCCGATACGTTAGTTATCATACACGATCGTATGTTTATGCACTTGTAGATTGGATATGTTCTTAGATATTATTAGCATTTTCAGAAGATATGTGTAATATACAAAATAGAGTTGGTAGAAAATTTAAATATAAAGTTTGCATAAGTAAAATACAGAGGACATATCACTAGATGAAGGGAAAGAAGCGAAACAGTTAGATAATATGAATTGTTCTACGGTAGCAATGTGATCTGATTTAGTTGAATTGTCTAACGAATAAAAAGTTGGACATATATATGAACCATAAGATGTAGAATAAATTTTCAAACTTCGTTGTTTGTCTGTTGTAGTTTGACTATTATTTCTAATTGACGGCGAATGTTTCATATAGAATTCCAATAAAATAGAGTTCAATGAAAACGATTGACAAGGAGTGTGAACAGATAGTATATAATTTGTAGTATGGTCACACGTTGTCGGATGATCGTTTGACAGACAAATGCAAGCAGTTTGTTTTTTTCCCACAACACCAGAGTGAGCTTGGTCATCGGGAAGGGAAGTAATGACTACATCAAATGGTTTGATAGTCTTATCAACTGCGAGGAGCCAGTACTTAGCATTAAACAGTGTCCAAAATATAATGCCATCATTATGATTACCATCATTACTGATGTCATCGTTACGTTGGAATGATAATTGTCCAAAACCATGGGAAGTAGGAGTAGGTAAACGACGTCGACCAGATAGACTGGGAGCAAGGATTTTCCTAATTGTCAGTTGATTCAAAGGATGTAAAGCAGTTGAATCCTTGAACGGGGGTAGTAACTTTAAAAAAGATAAGACTATAATTATTCAAAGATACAAGCGTACATAAACACCGCATATAAAGAAAAATAGTACCACCAATTTACTTAACTATAAAGTCAATTTATAAATTAATAATTATGACCTGGTGTAATAAAAATCAAGTCGTATTTACAACTATATCAATATTAAGTTATTAAGATTTACAACGAAAACAAGAGACGAAAATACTATAGTAATATCAAACGATAACTGTTTCAAAGTCAAACAAACTAGAGGTCAATGACAGGTAGTGAACTTTATTAGTAATTTCACTTAATCACAGTTTAGAGGCAGTTTCTATAGATTTATCCACACGTTGTTTACAACAAATAATATGAGGAAAACAAAAATCATTCTTAATAATAACTTCAACCAAGGCCAATAAAAGCAACCATTTGAATTAAACAGTTCTGGTCTATTTTAATGACATTAAATGTTATACAGAGTTAAGTCTGGTGGCTTTTATTTCTCGCAGTGATTACGATAACCATGAACATTGTCAACCTTGGCCAAAATTTTCAATAAAAATCGATCTTAATCTAAAAAAACACTAAATTACTTGGACTAGGAGATTAAAAGGACTCCGCATGAAAACTGAAGAATATTTGAAAAATTATTAAATCAAGGACATTATAACCGATTATTACTACTATTACACCATCCGCGTTAAAAATCAGCATCATTTAGAAGATAAAACATGATTTCCTGTTACACATAGTGATAATTCCAATTTCTTGCTGTTGTATACATTTTGTTATGAATGCAAATTAGTTTACAATTGTGGCGTAGATCACAAAAACATAACGTGAAACAACAGTGATATAAAATACTGTTTAACATCCATTCATGCATACTTGGTTTTGTATAAGGGAAAAAGGTGTTGGTATTAAATAGTTAAATTGATATATTGTTTGAAACGTAAACAGAACTGAGATTCGTATGGAAGACAATCACAACATTCCTAAGTATTGAAGGCATAAATATCAAAATAACAATGATAGAACCTTTTAAAATATCTGAAAATATGATCGTTAAGAAGTCTAAATTCTCCAGAAAAGTAACAATTGACATACTATCTGATAAACAATACTTTGGAAATTACTCCTTTTTTAAACATGTTTTCTTATTTGAATAGAAACGATGGTTACAAGTGGGTTTATATGAATCGTAACAGAAAAAAGAAACATTTATATTAGCTTATTTAAACTATGTTAATGAAATATTTGTGATATAACAGCAAGAAGCAAGTATTTATGTACAGAAAAATTCGGATTTTATATAAGAGAACTATCAATTTCTAAGCCTAAGGTAAGAAAAAATCGCATCTAAAAGTGAGGTAAAGGATTTTATCTGAGCCAGGTCAATAATTTTAAAATAAGTATGTCCGATTATTTTAAAGACTATGATTGTCTTCAAAATTTCAAGAATCATAGATATACCATATTAGCTGATGAAGAGCAGAAAAAGATTTTCGGCAGAGTTGTGTCTCCTGAACTGAGTGAAGCTTTCATTGTAACTCTAAATAACCTCACTAGTTCAGATTTCAGATGTTAATGAGCTATTCGAATGTCTCCAAGTAGAACTAGCATCTTTTCCGGTCGACCTTGAATCTGATTAGTTATTGTTGATACATGCCCTGCTATACTCTCCAAACTTACTTTTATTTTCTTTCTCTTTGACCTGATTCTTGACCTAAGCGTTGCTGACTATTTCTCTAATTTGTTCTTAAAAATAGACCACTGTCGATATGTTTATTAACAGCTGATTATTGACCTAAGTGTCAAGCTCCTGAAAATTTTTCGTGTCCGCGATTAAGGGATTTTCACAGTCGAACGTGTCTGCAGTTATTTGCTCGTACCGAAACTTTTTAGTATATGGTAGCAACACAGTGTTCGTATCGGGGTTAACAAGAAGAGGGTGGCCACTTAGATTCATATGATGCTTTTCAAAATTGGGTCAGTTTAATTTTTAGATGATGTCTAACTCTCTTGTTTTGGCATTTCATCTTTTGGTCTGGATAGGATTAATCAAAATATCGAAACTGATTAAATCTATCAACCAGTCAGAGAAATGATAAACAACAATTAGGTCAAGAAACAAAGAATAACAAGACAAGTGTTAACAACAACCAGTCGAATTCAAGGTCTACAGAACAAGATGTTAGTAATATATAGAGAAATTCGAATAACCTATTAATATTTGAAGTTTGAAGTGTTGTTATCTAGAACGACGATGAAAGCTTCACGAATAAACTACTCACTTCAGAAAACACAGCTCCACGAAAACCATCCTCCCAAGCTACAAATTTCATAATCATCTCACAGAAAGAAGTAATTACCCGTAGCTCTTAGAATAACCAAGCGTTTAGCGAACTCTATTAATAAAAGATCAACAAATACCTAGCAAGACTGAACAGTGTTATCAGGTTATGTTTGGATTACTAAAGGTCATTTCATATATTGCGGATACAACATAAGACGCAATTTTTAAAGCAATTATTATTTGAAGATAATTAGCACACCATATTGTTATTAACGGAAGAATCGATGCTCCATGATAGAGTTAGAACTCATACTATACCATGTCACACTCATAGATCTTACTACTGACAGTCATACTGATTGACTACTGAGAAGTAACCAATACCATGTTATATGGAGCCGATTGAGTGGTATCAATCAAGGTGCAATGTGACGCCCTAATGTAAGGGAATAAACAGCATGACCACTTGAGTTTATTTGAAAGATAAACTGTCTTGAAGTTTGACATGTAAACATCTTCAGAAAAAAATTGCTCATCCTAACAATACATGTATACGGTATATTTGCATCATGAAATCAATATTGCATCATAAAATTTGACCATAGTAATACGTGTAACTCAAGGGATAGTACTCATAAATAGGTATTAAGTTATCGGATTGGACAGCAATATTCAGACATCAGGCGTAAGCAATGTCGATTTTTATCTTTATTCTGTACTATGTATGTTCGTTCTTATTGCTTTACTATTCAAATATTAATTTTTTTAAAACACAAGTATCAACTTGTCACGAGTGCAGACTTTTTAACTAATTTAAAATGATTGGAAGACCTAGATTACGATAATTAATGGAAAGAATTTACTCACTAACCATGTAGGAGTTCATATAATTAGCTTTGAGCTGTATCTCTTGCGTAACGGCTAGGGGAGGCGCACAACAAGATTACTGGGTGGTTGGAATTTAAATAGTGACAATGAATCATGTAGGCATGTAATAACACGCAATGTTACAGGATCCTCTAGTGATTTCACTTTAAAACGAACGTCCAGCATGCTTGTCATGACTAACTAATTAGATAATAGTAGGAAAACATTCATATAAGTCGGGTGATATACATAAATTAACTCTTAACGTTGAATTAAATTAAGTATATGAGTGTTTCGCTGCTCGACGCCAAAATGAAAAAAGGATACTAAGTGTCTAGTTGGCTAAACAATAGCATTGCTAGGTGGCAAATATCATGTAACGAAAACATGGATTTATTCTTAAATGAAGTAGTGCAGATATAGTTTTTCAAATGTAACTAGACGACCACTTATAAGAGAAACGAAAATCAGCGTTTGGTAATTTTTCAATGAGTTAAAAAAACACCACTCTAAAAACAGTAATTGACGAACGAATCAAAATATCTTATTCCATAATGTATTGTCGTAATAGTGGCAATGTATACGGCTAGAAACTAAGACACTAATACCGGACAGGAATGTAACCACTACACAATGTTACCTGACTGCATTATGAATAGATAAAATAAACCCTTGAACAGCCTCATAAACTGACTGACTTTATTCATTTGATACACCACAGTTACCACAATTTCAGGTTCTAGTGTTTAAGCTTGGTCAGACAAAATATAACAACACAGTAATTCAATATCCCAATAAGTGTTCATCAGAAACAAACAGTAAAAACGCAGTAGTAAAATACATGTAATTGTACTACCAACCTGAGTGAGTTTTATGGCATTAATTTTACCGGAATCTGACAAATAGAAAGTAGCTCGAAAATTACGCCACCTAAATAAATGAAACGCAGGAAAAGACTATTAGCATATTTGTAAAATATTGATATACGAAATGTATTCGAAATGGGAATTGAAGCTAAACGAAATAATAAGTATAAAGACAATGTCTTTATTATAAAAATATAGTTAAAGATCAATTGAAAAACAAAGGTAAATTAGATGGGAGTTTCGTATCTTAGAATGATAACTTAGTGCTTAAGGTATTTAGCTTTCAAACAAAGAAACATCAGGTTTGAATTTAAGACCACCTACTTCGATATGGATGATTAAGAAGTAGTACTAGACTTCAAATTAACAACGTGGATCAAAGCCGAGTACATGAACCCGTACTTGGCAAATAGGTTACGGCATCATCACCCTATTGTAAGAAAAAAATAGACAAAGTGGCTTGAAAATGGTAGAGCTTATCATCCGAAATGACTGTTTATAAGCTTAGATAATGACAAAGCATTTAAAAACAATGTATAACAAAATTCAGAGAGGAATAATTTTAAACTTGACTCCCAAGTTGATAAAATGTGGATACAAAGCATGCAAAGTTAAATTACCTACCCTAAATTCAGTTAGTGTTATTATTTTACGGTCGACGCATACTTGAAGAAAAATACAGTTGATGAACATCATTCGTTTGTGATGTCATTTTATCCAAATTATTTTTTGATTACTTTGATTGATACCCATTACCCATTATTCTACCATTTTACCATTTCGAATATTAACAAACGAAATAATTAGAAGACGTGTACTATTTATTAGAATATGTTGCGCTCAAATATTTCCAAACCTATAACATCTCCAAACGGACAATTCATATGAACACATAAATTACCAACCACTTCGGATAAACACTACTCATGTTGCTTCCTAACTACGAATATCAACCAGGGAAAAAGTAGTTTAAAGAATTCCAAACCATTTAGTGTAATATTTGGAAAGGCTAACAGAAATATGTACTGTCTAGTTGAAACATGAGTAGAAATCAGTTCAATTAAAAGGCATTTTTCGTTATCAGCGGGAAAATCATTAAAAGCCGAGGAACACTGTAAGTAATTTTTTTCAGCTTATTACCCCAGTAACCATGGTTACATTTGGACCATGAAGTTTTATTCAGTGAATCGTATCCTCAACTCTAGTACCCATGGTGGATAACTGCTACCATTATTGATATTGTTGAGATCTACCAGTTGTGATTTCTCACCTGAACTGAGAGAATAGATTACAAAGCAAGACGCTAGTGAATTGTCCGGTGCTCTTTGATCTCTAGTGATTTCTTAACAGATGTCAATGAATACGTGAATAAAAGTATATTTAAGAAAATATCTATATTTAACAGTTATACATTAACTTACTGGGCTCGTTGTTCTAATCTTTCTAATAATTTATCTGAAGGTAAATGAGATTCTTTTGTGGATGGTGAAGGTAACAAAACAATTCGAAAACAAACTTCGACTTCCCATCTTTCTGTATCAGATAAAATACTGGTCAATTCTAGTCGACGACCATATGAACGCAAAGAAAAATAGGCCCGACTAGCCACTACTAAAGCACGAATCCATGATTCACCTCTAAGGTGAATAAAGAAAGAAAAGACAAAGAAGTTTTAAAAAATGTTTATTTGAAGGCGTGTAGGTCTTCGGTATCTTATCTTGACAGGAATATAAATCACTGCTACTATCTCCGATAGTCATCCAAATAAACAAACCTCTAAGGTAAACAAAACCTATATTTTCATGTAAACCTTATGACAATTATTTTTTGGCTAGCGTTACTGTGAATCGCACTTCCGTCTGGAACTGATGACCAAAATAACTAAGCAGCGAGACTATAATTCGGACGATGATAAAAATCATAAATATTACTCAATTTGTTGAGTATCCCAGACAGAAGATACTGAATTCTCAATGTTCTGCCGAGTAGCTGAAACAAGATAGTATTTCAGTGGATTAAAATCCTAAATTCATGTATCCCCACAACCAGAAAATGAGAAACAAAATTTAGGTTAAAAATGAGATATGTTTTAATTAATTTTTATTTCAGCGTTACAAGCTACTGATATAGATAAAAGGAATCGATTTCCTTCAAATATGCTTTGATGTGGAAGGATAGGATGGGCTGCCGAATAAACTACATGCCTTGATCTGGGTATCCAATAAGCATCCCAGACCACAATTATTTATTTATTTATTTATTTAAACACATATATATTGGTACAAAAGGGCACCAGGTACATATGCGCCACACAAAATAATGAAAGTAGGAAGAGAAGGGATAAAAAGATAAGGCGGACTGAAATGTACAACCAGAAGACTCTTTCAGTTAAGAAAGTTAGAACCATTCTTTATGTAGAAAGTAAAAGAAGGTTGCAGCAGGATCGCCAGTGGCTTCTATTCTGAGCCATATCTGATAACGTCTCTAGCCACTGTGTTGCACCATCTCTCGGACCCCAGCCAGGGAGTCGTGAAGGACCAACAGAAGCTAGCCCTTTGCAGCTCTCTTTCATGCCACGACACCATGTCATACACTGACCTCCTCTCCGCTTTTTCCAACCAGTCCCAGGGTCGGCAAATAATGCACGACGTGGAAGTCTCTGGGACGACATTCGTAAAACATGTCCAAGCCACCGAAGTCGGTGTTTCAAGATGGTGACACCAACTGAATTATCGTCTCGGCGCCCGAACACACGATGCCGAACCTCTGCATTACTAACATGGTGTTGCCACTGTATGTCAGCAATCCTTCGGAGACAACGATGATCGAACACAGAGAGACGTCTAACATCCTCAACTCGGAGAGGCCAGGTTTCACAAGCATAGAGCAAAACTGCTCTCATCGACGCGTTGTAGATCCGAACTTTTACAGCCAGACTAACATCACGAAGGCGCCAAAGATGGCCCAGATTGGCATAAGCCGCTCTGGCTTTCCTTATACGTGCATCAATCTCATCACTCACGCCACCACCAGCACTTATATAGCTACTTATATAGATACACGAACTTCTCAACTACTTCAATCTGCTCACCATCCAGGGTGAGTACAGGATGAGAATCCTGCCAGTCTTGTAGGAGTACTTTGCACTTGGAGGGGGCAAAGCACATGCCGTACCTGCGGACACTGATTGCCAACTGATTAAGTGCGGATTGCATGGCTTGAGCATTATCGCACAGTAAGACAATATCATCCGCATACTCAAGGTCGAGAAGTCGTTCTCCAGGCAACATATCCACACCGCCATTACTTACATCTATCAGAGCTGTTTCCAGGATGTCGTCGATGACAAAGTTGAAGAGGAATGGTGAGATCGGGCAACCCTGCCTAACACCACTGCTCGAATGGAACAAGGGAGAAAGGTGGTTGTATGCAATCACTCTGTCTGAGGCGTTCGTATACAGGGCCTTTAAGATGTTAATGAACTTCTCAGGCACACCCTTCTTCAATAGACAACCCCAGAGAACAGTCCTGTCCAACGAATCGAAGGCAGCCCTGATATCAAGAAACACTACGATTGTTGGCCTGCGATAAGTATGACGGTGTTCTAACATTTGGCGGAGGGTGAAGATGTGATCAATGCATCCTCGACCAAAACGAAAACCAGCCTGCTCCTCGCGAGTCAATCGTTCTCGGGTTTTAAACAACCTACGAAGAATGATAGAAGCCAATAGTTTGGACGCAATCGGAAGTAGACTTATCCCCCGATAGTTGTTACAGGAACAACGTGAACCCTTTTTAAAGATAGGGACGACTATCGACTCATTCCAAGATGTTGGAACACTTTCTTGTTCCCAAACCTTTCCAAACAACACAGTCAATTCCTTAGTCAGAAGGTCACCACCATCTTTAAAATAAGCCGGAGGTAGGTCATCTGAGCCCGGTGATTTGTAACGTTTTAAGAGTTGGAGTTCCTTGCGGACTTCCGCCTCGTTTGGTGGATCAGTCGTCACCGGCCATGGGGGGCAGGACAAGCTGGTTGATGTTGCCGGAGCAGAAGGCCAGTTGAACTGCCCTTCGAAGAATTCCGCCCATCGTCCAAGACGTCGAGAGATATTAGTGATTGGCATCCCATCATCCTCGTAGATTGTTTCACTCACACCAGACTTCTTGCTGCCAGTGGCTCGGATGAGTTGGAAGAGCTTCTGGCAGTTACCAGATGCAGCTGCTGCTTCCATCTCATTAGCACGCTCCGACCACCAAGCTTCCCGGTCCTTACGCAAGCTTTGCCCGATTTCATTACGTAACAGCCTTCGTTTGTGGTCAAACTCACGGTCACCCGGAATAGACCGACGGGCTTCCATCAGTTGTAAGGAGCCAGAAGAAACCCAGTGCTTGTAAGCGGGACGTTTCGCGAAGCCGCAAGCGGCTTTACTCGCCATTTTCATGGCGTCGTGAAGAAGCAACCAATGCTCATCTATACTTTTCGGTGGGGTGGTAGCTAGTCTAGAGGCTAGCTCTGCTCGATACTTACTTGCAACAGAAGTTGGAGCCAGTTTACTAACATCAATCCGTTGGTGGTGGTCAATCCTTCGGCCACTGAAAAGTAAGGTGAGATTGGCGCAGACCAGGGCATGATCAGACTCCAGATAGGTATTCCAAAAGGAGCGGCAATCTTGTACACAATCACGCCAGCGGTAGCTGATCGCGATGTGATCAATCTGAGTCCAGGCTTGGGATGCAGAGGGAGGACGCCAGGTGGCACACCGGCGATGACTGTGCCGGAAGTTGGTGCTGGCCAGAAACAGGTTGTGGTCTGTGCACAGTTGCAGCAAACGGTCCCCGTTATCTGTCCTGCGACCAACAAGTCCCCATCGGCCACCTAAACGACTCTCTTCTGTGCCTAGACGCCCGACCTGTGCATTCAAGTCTCCGGCTAATACTACAATATCTGTCGAACGCGCTTTCTGGAGAAGAACTGTTAACTGATGGTAAAACCCATCCTTGATTGCATCCGGGCTGCAATCTGTCGGGGCATAGGCGAAGATGACGAAAAGACACCGTTTCTCACGCCGGTTTCTTCTCACTTTGATGGAACTTTCTAATCTAACAGCACATAATCGACTGTTAATGGGGATCCAATCGATTAGTGCTGCCTCAGCTCTAGCGCTTAGTGCGACACCAACGCCAGCAAGACCAGACGAAGATGCCACAGGGTCCCCGGATAAGCGCACGTGGAACAAGCTTTTCGAAGCAACAGATGGAGAGCGAATGTGTAGTACTTCACTAGAGTCTTGAATACGGGTCTCGGATAGACAAAAAACATCAACATTAAGACCTTCCAAAGACATAGCCAGCCCTATCTGTTGTCTGATATGCATTAGTGTGCGAACGTTGAAGGAAGCCAGCTTGAACGGCGTACGTGGTTTCAGAAAGACTGCTTCAGTATTCATAATCGGTGGAAGCATTCACTTTCAACCGGACAGTGACTGGAGATCGTTTAGATAGGACAGATTTTCCACCATGGGCGAGCTGCTGCATAAGATGAAAAGTAAGGTTACACAAATTGGGGATAAAAGGGGGTGAGTTAGCGATATGGTAAATAATAATAATAATAATAATAATAATAATAATAATAATAATAATAATAATAATAATGTAAATTGTCTTGCTTCTAGTATGAGCAGGAATAGTATCATCAATAGAATTCATCAGTTCATTTATTTGTGTGTGTGGGCTGTGATACTGCCCGGGTGCCCAAACTGAAACAGGTGGTTTTCTTAGGGGCTCACACTCGGAGCCTTTGACCTGAAGGTCTAGTCCACAAGGCAGTGGAGCGTCGTGAGGAGATGCAGTCCCATGGTAGCCGTTGACCAACGATTGATTCATACGCCATTCGTTCCATCAGGATACTGGAGCCCATGTGCACCATTGGTTTGGAATCAGGGTTTTCCAACTCCCCTAGGTGGACTCTCCGTGTCCACCAACCCGGTTAAAGTGCCGGATATTCGCTTTTCGTCCTCTGAATTTCGTAAACAACACCCCCGCCACGAGAAGGCAGTGAGTAGGGACTTCCCTGGCAGAGGCTATATATTCGCTGGCCATGTGAGAGCATTTCGAGAGGGAGAGTAGACTCTCCCCACTCTCGGCCGTACCAGGGCATTTGGGGGCCAGACCACAAACATTTGTTTAGATAGCTATGAAAAAATATTCTACTCGTTAACCCCCACTAACCACCTAGATGACATTTGAAGATACATTATTACATTTTATTATGTGTCTTTTCCCTTTTATTTTCTATCTGTGTATGCTTTTATTTTTCTTCGATCTACTTGCCGGTTCGTTTCTGTTTTCAGTTCATGTTTTTGAAAAAAAAGTTTCAATTTGCTAAATGTTCACCGAATACGATCTCTGATATGGATTTCCTGAAGCCACGCGTGCACTTCGATGCAGATCAGGCATCAGATAGGTTTGGCTATATTCGAAGTCTTGACATAGATGTATGCTGTATATGTGAAACTATATGCACAACTCTAAAGAAGTAATACGAATTCGTACTGTATCTGACCATTCAAAAAGTTTATTCCTCATGAGTTTATTCAGTAGCCCTGTAGCATGTGCGCCCACTTTCGTTGACATTTATGTCACACTGAGCGTCGTAGAAGAGGAAGCATTGACTGGCTACATATTCATTCTAAATTTTTTGTTTTATTTAAGATAAATACTGGTACAAGTAAGTACCATTATAAGTATGCGCCACATATAAGGGAATGATATTTTGAAGAAATATGAGGAGGACTATAATCAACATAAATAAATAGATGAAAACTGAGTGGATGATAGTTGTTTAATACACGGGAAGCTGTTATATCTCGACGGGAATCATGAGTGGTAACTGTTGGGATCTATTTATGGACTAATACTATGTGTGTATTTTTAATGTATAATTGTTAATTAACTGAACTATGTATATTCATATTCCTCTTATTATGAGCATTATTTTTACCTACAGACTATTATTATACGATTTACCATTCGTAAGTTATGCCCAGTTTATTAATCACAGTCTCCCACAACCACAGCCACTTTGAACAAATCTTTTACAAATGTTATTTTCTATTTTATGGTGTGATGTGGACTGTTTGCCTTGTACATAGACCCAGTATGTTTGAAATATATGATTCATATCGTGGAGGCTGAGATTTGTATTCTGAACTCAGCAGGCAGAGCTAGGCAAGAAGAAGGGCCGATAAGAACTCTATTCTGCTCGTACAGGTTTATGTGTCTAGTTGCTAAGTCAGTGTTCTTTAATTGGTGGTATTATTACGTTATATATTAATAGGGCACAAGTTATAATAGAAACAAATAAGTCAAAAAAATTCAATCAGGGAAACGTTTTCCAGTCAAAAAAGTTTTCGCCTTTAAATGCCCTGGTACGGCCGAGGGTGGGGAGCGTCTACTCTCCCTCTCGAAATGCTCTCACATGGCCAGCGAATATATAGCCTCTGCCAGGGAAGTCCTACTCACTGCCTTCTCACACTACGGGTGTTGTTTACGAAATTCAGAGGACGAAAAGCGAATATCCGGCACTTTAACTGGGTTGGTGGACACTGAAAGTTCACCTAAGGGAGTTGGAAAACCATGATTCCAAACCAATGGTGCACATGGGCTCCAGTATTCTGAAGAAACAAATGGCGTATGAATCAATCGTTGGTCACCGGCTACCATGGGACTGCATCTCCTCACGACGCTCCACTGCCTTGTGGACTAGACCTTCAGGTCAAAGGCTCCGAGTGTGAGCCCCTAAGAAAACCACCTGTTTCAGTTTGGGCACCTGGGCAGTATCACAGCCCTCACACAAATAAAATAAGATTTGTGTAGCGCATATGTATTTGGTGCCCCTTTGTGCCAATATTTATGTGTTCAAATAAATAAAATAATAAGCAAAGAAGTTCTCACTTTTATGAAGAACGTTAAGGAAAACTATAGCATGACCGTCACTGGCTTTTATTGTGAGGCGTGTCTGTTAACGTTCAATTAACTAAGCTGAACCATCCCAATATGATGATTACTAGTGAATAATCATTTACATACTGTTGGACTAGAAAGCTTTATCAAATCAAGAACTTGCCTACACAGCGACGGTTCGGATTAACATATGAAATTTAATACCAATCAAATAGCCTTTTTAATAAAGCGCTTTTGATAGATACATTGGGGTGATCCGGGGACGTAAATACACAGGGCAGGGGTCAAAGCACAGAGTCACAATGTCCAATGAGGACCCAATGGTCGTAGGTCAGATAACAGTGGCCACCTTTCGCAGCTTGTGTGGATTACAACCAAATTTCAGCACAGTGTTGATATATAATCAGTCGTTCATCATATTAGTTTCATCGTAGTTTGGTCCGCAGTTAGGAGCATTAACGATAACTTAGTTGATGTCACCTATTCGAAACACTGATGTTGACAGCATTTTCATGCTATATAAATGTCATCCTATGGAATTCCACATGGTGCGCTAATTTTCAACGCTGAGATTGCATGGCGAAGGCAGAGAGGTTGTCAGTTCATAACTTAGACCCACGGTATCGAGGATAGGTGAAAAGGATTGGCGTTCGCGGGCTCACCATAACTCCTTGAGTGAGATCCCAGAGATCGCGCGACTCAATGGGCTGAGACGAGTTCAGGTGTAGTTCATAAAAAAAGTCAGTGGCTATCCTACTATAGTTTATCACATTTTCCATACAAGTGAAATGAACTCTCTTGCCTAACATAAATCTTTCTAGAGTGCGTTTTGAGTAAACTCAACTCGTCATACCGTTTTTGTCTATTTATTGGTTAACCGTATGACCCTTTTCTCCTTTGTTTTCTTAAAGTATTATCATTTTACTTGTGTGACTCAATTTTGGATCAGTATCATGTCAGGATTTATGTGAGACAGAATGCTAGGAATAATTGGAAAAATGACGGTGAAATTCGTTTGAACACCTGTTAAATGAAGCCTTTTTCAGTTTCGATGTCAAGACATCAAAAATTTCTTAACAATCTGATAATAGTGATAGACCGTTTTGTGTTATGCCTATATGGATTGATTAATTTTCTTAAAATTATAGTGATAATTGATAAGGAAACTTAAGACTTCTCTAGAAGAACAATGAATAAAGTCTGTTTGTAATTGAGTAAATAAACGACGAATATTGAGAGTTGGGTTAAATACTAATGACAAGAACACTAGATAATTAAGAACAATTAGTTCACTTAAAACACGGACAACGACTTCAGTCATCAGATTTTGATTGAAAGTGAAAATGTCACGGTAAAGTTGTAGAAAATGAGAACAGAATATTTTTAAAAACGGTAAATCAATTCATCCAGACGTTAAGTAAGCAGAAACAATAAAACTGAGGTATATGATTAAATCGTTTGTGGGGTAAAGCAATTAATTTGGAGATTCCTTTTATTATGAACTTACATTCACAATGTGCATTAATAATCAGTTGAAAACAATATCGAAATGGCTAAGTGAAGTTCTGTAGTTTTCATTTGAAGTAATGGCTTAAAGACTACAAAACTTTACTCTCAAACTACTTATTCGCAGGCTTTTGACATGATTCACCGACTTTGATTCAAGACACCTAACAGTATTACTAGTTCTTGCACGAAAATTGTTAATCAGTGCCAAGTACACAAAATTTCATCTAGTTACCACGTTATAATTTTATATCGGTAATGAACTGGGAGAAAATGAGAGAATCTATAACAAGTTATGGCAGTACTCACAGTATCTACACTACAGCTAATGATTTTGAACCATATAGCTCTGAATCACCAACTAATCGCTATGGATGTCTTGTAGAATGTAAGTACAAAATTCACAGTTATACACAGCCAACAATTCGAATCTATCTTCTACTGAAAACACCATTGACAGTCTAAGGGTTTCGTTACATACACAGATGCTTTTGAGACATCGCTGATAGAGAAATATAGCTAACAAGCTAGTTATACTTCATAACGTTTTCTACAAATAACGAATTCATATAATGTATGCTTGCTCCATGTAAAGGAAAATGACTCGAAGAGAAGTTGTATACTTACTTCAATCTGCAGACGGAACCATTTCTTCTTTCATAATAAACAACAGTATCAGAATCTAGCAAATTTTTTGGTAATTCATTAAAAAAGGTTTTTTCAAAGAACAGTGGTAGCTCATCTTCAATATCTTGATTAATTCTCAATAGCCGGTCCATTTTAGCTTCATTAGGTAATTTATTGAATGACTGATTGTCTTGATCACTGAATAAAAGGATCATATCTTCCAAAGTAGGATGGGTGATCTTTTTTTGTTCGTGTTTATTCTCAAATAAAGTTGGGCAAGTATGTTTATCTGGCGACTTAAAACTATGATATAAAATTCCAGAAGAGAAACTAAAATATAAAGGATATCTTAGCTTTTGCAGTAAGTTTAATTCTCTCGGTACATTTTTCGACTTGCACCGTAAAGGAACTAACAAACGAAACATAGTCCGACTAGCTTCTGTAACAAAATAGAAAATCATTCGGACGAATAAAATACATAAATAATGGGTGGTGTGAATTTACATCGACATAAATCAAACAAGTCCAGTCGATTCGCTACATATATGATATAAGACGAAACAGAAGAAAATACAGGGCCTAGAACGAAAACATTGGTCTACTCAGAGCTTAAAATTTAAGAACGGTTGAATACAATATTTCATGAAAACTGAGTTACAAACTTCGAACTAACATGAATTACTCATTTGGACAGTCTGACAATATATACAACCCATGGGACTATGTTGTTTAAAACCAAATATACAAGTACGCCTTTATATACTTATATATTACACACCTATCTGAAATCTTTGTCTTTTATCAACCAATATGGTTCCTTGAAATAAAAAAGCGTTCACAGAACTAGAAATACGATCTTGCCACGTTAATTACTCATGGAATTGATACTAAGCTTGCAGGTAAATAACTGTTCTGACATCAAACATTTTAAAAGATAACTTCTTAACTAGTCTTCTAGGTGCCTAATCCTGATTTACTGTAGTTCTGAAAAGAGTAGTTCATTAAACCGTTATATGGTGAATAAATACAATGATTTATAATTGTCCTACAGATAAAGTCAACTGATATCTAAAATATTATAAGCTCAATTAATGCTGAGTTCTGAAAAAACTGAGTAAACTGCAGAATCAGCTTTAAAAGCACAGAAACCCGACGTAGAAATAAGTACATAAGTCTATAGTTTCGTGTGTTGTGAATAATGAACTTGGTCTTACGCAAGATTTTAGAATTTAACGGACTGAAATGCACAAGCCAGAACACTTCATCGCAAGTAAATAGTCAAACAATCTTTTATACACGTACGAATGTATATTTTACAAATGCCTAGCACTCAAAGTCGATGTATTTTGGCGAATGTGATCATTCTGGTAATTTTTGACGGTCATACGCAACGATACGTTACTAACTAATCCAACGAAGGGTAAAGCACGACAATATTATATCTTTTAATAATATTATTATCATTAATCTTATACAACTATATGTACATTTTATGAATAGTCCTGTTCTTTACCCAGATGATATTCCACTTCTTACATGATATCCACCAATCTGAACCATTCGAATCCAAGATTATGCTTCACTAATAAGATATTTAAATAAAGTTCCTCTCAACTTTTTATTACCTAATTGCACCCAAGTGAACATACAGATATAAGGTCATGAAATATGTAAATACACAACTTCACAATTCAAACTGGATAGAAGTGCATCAAATAGAAACGAAACAAAAGAATAAAAATAATACCACTCATTGCGGTGGAAAACCAAAAGGGGAAGAAATGAAGGACAAAACAAAATACTTATTAAAATTATTTAGTTAACCTGGTTCTCGCTTGACTCCAGGAAAGTCGGTTTTGCATTGAAAGTCGCTTATTCTATAGAATCATACTATTTCCTTGAAATAGCATTTATTTGGGAATGAATCGAAGGCATGTGAACAGGCAAGAAAAGACTTAACCATGGAATAAACTGTTACGTTGTACTTAGATTAAACAGTATGACAGCTAAAACATACAAGCACATTTAAACACGTAAAAATGCATGATCTTTTTTATTTGGTTATCCTTAAGTAATCAGTACTTATTTTAGAACAGAATAGACAAATGCGCAACACATACTTTGCTGAAGCGTACACGACAATTACAGCGCCTTCCAAAATAAAATGTTTTTGGGACAAATAGTATAAATCAGTTTTGATTATTTGTGCTCACTCCTTCATACTGCATTAAGATTCCAGCTTCTCGAACAACTGATTTACAGCGGATATAAACACTTTATTTGCAATGGTTTTTCTTAACTTTGAACTCCAGTAATGTTTTCGTTGATTTTTTTACCAAAAGATTGAGGTGGTAATCAAATTCTCATACTAAATAGTTCCGTAAAGCTTCGACACCGGTTTTTATGTCATTGGTTTGGATGAAAATACCCTGACTAATGACTCAGTCACCAAATCGCACCAAATCACGAGCGCGTACACCGTGCTATGCGTCTCTTCCAACCGCTATCTGGCTTAAGTCAAACGCTCCTCAACGTAACAACAAGTTACCCATCATCGGCTTCTAATTTTGATGGATTAATAATCTTCGATTCTAGAGGTTTTACGGAAAAAAGTGCTGTTGAACATCGAATATCCGTTACATCTTTAGTGGTGAGCCCAACGTGACATGGCACATCGAGCCATAAACTGTGATCCTGCTCCTCGCTATAACGCTACATCTTACTTTTTATTTTACCATATCTCGATATCATTTTATGTTCTCGGATTTTTTCCTTTCGAATGATGGTAGATTTTATCCTCATTATGACAGGACTGACACCCAAACTGTTAGAGGATAAAACGCTTGGGCCCCTTACATTTCATCTGGTACCATTCTGACCTGATAATATCGAAGCTTGATTTCGCTACGCCAAATCTGAATTCCACATGCACGATTTGGCGGCACCATGTGTACAATCCATCACAATGGAGGAGCGATTCTGGACGATATTAACGGGAACAATACACATTGTATGTTTACTAGTGACGTTTCTGAACATTATGGTATCTTAAAAGAAGCTATCCTTAAAAAAGAGATCTGATGGATCGTCAAAGGTTAAACCAGCTCCTCCATAACGTTGAACTGCAACAGGGTTCAGCAACGGAAATGTTGCTACGTATTCGGGGGATCAATCATAAACTGATATTTGATGAGGGCCATTTTGTCTAATTGTGAAACTTCTTTTTTCAGTTGTAGGTTATGCCCAGTTACACCTAAACATGTAGTCGATCCATAAATCAGACAGACACTCTCCAAATATACCGAACTTTTAAATATGCAAGCAAAACTACCGTGCGTAACCAGCATTGTTGCAAAACAGCATCACGACTACAGGACCACATATATTTTCCATAGCACGGCGACTAAGTCTTCAAAATCTAAGGTTAGCCCAGAACAAATTCGAGCACATGATGGACTGCAGAAGACACTCCTAAAACTTCTGTTATCACTTCCCACAACCTCTACAATGTTTTTCACATGCTTTCCGGTTTGAGAAATGCTGCATAAACTTTTCAGTGATTCGTTAATGAGGTATTTAAGGGTTTTAAGTTCACGTGCGCCAACGTTGGTGGGTGTGTAACGACTTGGATTGATTAATTGGGAGTTTACTACAAACATCTTAGCTGTGTAAAAACATTGTAGCTGAAATATTTATTCACTCCTTCACTTTGTAGGCATTATATTTGCCATTATTTTATATTGGAGGTTGAAAAGCTTCATATGTTCAAAAAAGATAACCTTAGGCTTCAAACGTCCTATTCCATAACCAAAATAGACCCGTCCACTACTTGTCTGTTTCTTCTATCCACAAAAGGAAGGATACCCGCCAGCACAAAATATGCTTGACCAGATGTCCTGACAGAGGATCTCATCTACAGCTTCTCGATTTTATTTTCAAGTGACTTAAGAAAACATGACACTATTGTAAATATTCAGATGTTGGTAATCACGAATGACTATCCGGACTTTTTCAGACACACAATTGGTGCTCAAGGTATTCTCCCCCGGAGAAGCAAGTTGACGGCGGTTCCGAAATACCCAGAACCGATCATAGTTGAGCAATTATACACATTCAGCAGCCTGGTACGTTTTTATCAATGGTTGACACCGAATTGCGCTTGTCTCGTGAGACCCTTAACAGACCAATTCCGTGGAAATGAGAAAATCATCAATTCGAATGACAACGCGATAGAAAAATTGTAGTGGCCTAATTTTATGAAGTGGACACGATTGGTATAACGGAAACAACTATTATAGCCAACTGTACCGTTGATGGTTTTACTGTACCTGTTTGTTTAAGTGTACCCGAAGGACATCTTTCCGTTTCTGTGTGACCTTGTACGGATTCTCATATGCTCAGTAGTCCCGTTCGAAACCTTGGCACTGTCTCAGTATTATTTCGATAACACGAGATCGCCAATAAATACATATTACTACAAACTTCAAATGCCTACTGATATTTGACCTACGGAAGGATCTAACCTAGCAACTGGCACGTAGTTTTCCTGTTGTGGTGATCATAGTCAACCGTTACTCAACGCCTAACTACAGAACAGTGACGATTTAAGAAATAATCACAAGCGCTACTATTATCGCTCTCTAGAACATCCTACACATCGATAAGTATCTATGTAGAGGCATTCGACTCCACTATCAAAGGGATCTTATAACAATGGGTATTCAACACCAAATGGCCTTCCGAATTCCTTCCCAGATGGTTGAAAAACATATAGTCGAGGTAAAAAATTTTCGCCAGAGGACTCCCAGTTATATATGGTACTCTACAGCACTCTCAACACTCTGTTGAAGGCCGAGAAAGCACTCCCTTGACTGAATATAGAACTCTCATATTTTGTTTCAGCTCGTCTTCAAAAAAATACTTCCCTAGAGAGTATCGGCAACTGGAATACATTTCGTAGTTTACTTCAGATATGCAAATTAATTCTCTAGCAAGCGATTCGGTGACAGATGCTTTGTCTCGTGTAAAACCCTGAGGCAAGTTCTGGGGAATCGAGCCTCCTAAACATGTCAGCTAGAAGGTAAGAATAGGAATTTCCTTGAACAACTCGGAAGCCACGAGTCCAGACAATATATCTCAGTTGAGTCACCACGATAAGCTATCTCGAGCACCACGCAAAGTAATAGCTATGGTTACGTTCTTTCCATATACTGCACATCAAACCCATACATACGAATATATTTTACCCACCAGGTAAAGATAAAGTGGACTTAAAAGCTTCGGCCGCAAAGAGAAAATAACAACTCCATTCCAATGTTCTCCTTTTTATCCTTTTAATCACAACAAAAACGTGCATTCGCTCCAACGGTTTATATACCACTTGTACCAAAGTATAAAGAAAACGTTTTGCATGCATGAAGTCTACTGATGAAAACAATTGGAGATTGCGAAAACCTTAAAAGATGAACTTTTTTATGTGACGGAAAGGTAGACATAATCAACATAGGGAAACTCACCCTCAGTGTCTGCCCCGCTAACACCATAGAAATGACCATGTTGCATCCAAGAATATATAAACACTTGTACATCTCTAATCAAAATGAATGAGGACACATTAATACAAACCTGCATGTTTCATATAGTTTGTTGAAAACGTGTGGATCAGCTAAAAAACTAAAAACAGTCTGTAAAGCCCCGGAATTGCCCTCCTCCGGAACTGTGCGATGATATAATACATGTGTCATTGGAAGCCAGTATATACAAAAATTCTGTTGAAAGAATGAGGAAAACAAAGCACTTACAATAATGATAAACTGTTGAAATAATGCTGAAGGTAGATCAAGCAAGCAATGAGTGGTGAAATTAGGAGGGGGATTTTCTATTAGAGACAACAAACATGAGTTACTGAGCGACAGTTCTTTCCGAAACATCAGTTGTTTCAACTTCTTTGATATTTCGTAGTAAGCGAACGTTCCATAGATAGTTTTTATTTCTCCCTTGTTGGCGAAATGGTTAAACTGAAAAAAATACTCCAATTCAAGTGGTGATGAGAAAGGTAAAATGTTAGAAAACAACTTGAAGCAGTCATTTAATTGAAACGTATCCTTCCACCCGGAAGGTATGTGGTGGTTGATATTCAGCACTATCCCTAAGCTTCGTATATTGTTCGTCTTGATAACCGTTACTTGACAACGTCCTAACGATGTATTAATCAGAAGACGAATACGAAGGGTTGATCGCGTTTATTACTAAACCACACACAGTTATCCAATATTACAGGTACGTCAAGCAAGCATGAAAAAGCAGTGCCGTAGAGCCGGATGAATGAGTAAGCATATGCAGTACGGTGTAGCGTAATACAGAGAAGAGAGCAAGCAGGGCAAGTGCAGTAAACAGGATTAAGATGTACATATATATATAAGTGGGAAAGCATGAGTCATCGGATTAATTAAGCGATTAATAATAATGCTAGCGGAATGAATATATGAGTAGGCAGTAAGCAATGTTCAAGCGTATATAATAAAAGTACAATAGTATAGATGTGTTGTTATTGTATGAATGACCGTCCATTAAATAAGTTAACAAAAAAGCTTAGCTGAATTAGATGTAAACAAACTCAATTGTTTCTGAGTTGCTATAATAGCTCCCCCCCAGCAAACATGGATAGAAAATAGTGTCTGTGTTTGCGAATAAAATATGTTAAACTTAACAGGACAGTAAATATCAAAATTTATGAAATTAAGATGTATGATAGAACTATCGTGTGAGTTACTACAAATACGTGTAATTTTGAGTTCGTATATATGCGTGAGGCCAGATAAAATAACAGATCAAAATAATGTGTTAGTGATTTTGGAGGTTTATATACATTTACATTGTAATATGCAAACTTTGTTGACTATAATAATAGACAAATTAAAGTTTTCGATGTACACATACAAAACGAAGAGAAAAGAAATTTACATCTGAAGATGCGAAATAAATTATTAGTTCAAAATCGTAGCTATGTATCGTTGAGGCCATCTTACTCTTCGACCATATCTTGTCGTTACTGGTTTCTCTTCGTTTTTGTTCGTCGATGTCGTTGATGATTGAGACTCACGTTTCGGTGACTCGACGATTTTCGAATGATCTGTATATAAT